TTTGACTGTCGGGATTTTTTTGTCGGGATTATGACCTGTCGGGATTGTGCTTGTCGGGATTTTGACCGGCACCCTTTTACACAGTATTAATTAATTACGAACTTTTCTGCCGTAGCGACCATATATGACCTATATGACCTATCTGACCTATCTGACCTATCTGACCTTTCTGCCCTATCTGACCTTTTTGGCAGATTTGACCAATTTGAGTTAGATCGATCCGAACCACTTCGGCATCGGGCTGAACGATTTTTCCCTCTCACATTCTCCCAGCCTTATTTTCGAGTTCCACAAGAACATAAAATGCCAATCGCAAAAAATAAAAGAAACTACAGAGTAATAATCAAATAGTAATGTATAGGTATGCATTTTTTTTTTTTTTCATTATTCCGTTGTGCTAATCGGATTAAATTCATTCCTCGGGTTTCCTCCAGGATTGAAGACAGAGTTACTGAGGTCATGTGCCAGTAAGTATCGGAAAATTATGTCCTTTACTTCAAATACTTCATCGTCGCCTACTAACGTTCTACAATCTTCTTTATCTTCATCAACATTCTTGGTATCCACTTTCCTCCTTCCAAATTCAAGATTGGTATCATTTCGATAGCAAGACCCACGACGGATTTCATCAAAAACTTTATCTTGGCTGATGCTTATTTCGTCACCATGGTTCATATTAGCAAGTTTTCGATGCTGTATGCGCGTTTCATACTTATCCTTTTCAACGCTGATTCCGTTCTGCGTGCAAGGTTCAAGGTTAGCTTCTTTATTAGCACAATCCGTAACAGCAGGCTTCCGAGGGCTATTAGATGCTCTATATTCGTCCTTTTCAACATCGATTCCCTTAAATGTTTCTTTATCAAGTTCCATTTCGGTAGGTCCTTTTATTTCGTATGTAGTCATTCGGAATTCATTAACTTTTCTTAGCCATTCTTCACACTTACAGCGCAGGGTTTCTTTTTTCAGGAACTTTTCGAATATATCGTTATTTATTCCATCACTTTCATTCGCAGTTTCGTCATCGTCGATGTCTCCAAGCCTTATGGGTGAGTTTCGTATTTCCTTTTCTTTCTTCTGATCCAATCCGTTTGATTCCGACTTACTAACACATCTACTGACTTTTGATAATAGGTGAACGGCTTATACTCATCTTTTTCAATCCCTATTCTATTTTGCTGGTAGAATTCGAGGCCATGCTTCTTATTCGGATTATCATTTTTTTCATGTTTTAGGTAAGTCGTCGGGAGTTTCTTTACAACTTCTATTTCCTTATTTTTGTCTTCTTTGACTCCAATTCTTTTCTCATAGCAGGGAACAACTGGATATGTTCCATTAGCGTCACTTATATCTGCGGGCTGTCGATAATAATTGAATGCATCATGGTCATTCTTTTCGATATCAATTTCATTTTCATGGCAGGGTCCCACCAGGTATGTTTTATCAGCGTTATTCATATGGCGGCCTTTTGATAATAAACGAATGCACCAGGACTATTCTTTCCAAGACTGCTTCTATTTCGGTAATAAGGTACAAGGTCATAATTTTCATCAGCAGAATCTATAGCGGCAAATTTTCTGGGGCCTTTGAATGCTTTATGCTCATCCATTTCAGCTCCAGTTGCACAATCGTCAATGCTGCTTGATTCATTAGTATAGTCCATACCCGTTGACTTTTGATCGTCGATGAATGTCTTTTTTTTTATCCTTTCATCCACAATTCCATTTTGATGGCAGTAACCAAGGTTGCCTTTTCCATTGGCACTACCCATTTCTGCCAGTTTTTGGTAATGGGTGAGCACCTTCAGTTCATCCTTTTCAATTCTACCCCTTTTATTCTCATTCTTTTCAATGCTAGTTCCATTTCGATAACAGTATCCACGATTTGCTGGTTTGGGATTTTCAAGTTCCTTTGGTTTAGGCATCCAATTTTCCAACGTTTCCATGTATCCGTCGATCAGGCTTTTCAGGGTGATCTCAGTGTCAGTTTTATCATCTTCTGCGGTTTCTTCTAGGGTGAAATAGACATCAAGAATTTCCGTAATTAGATTTTTTTTATCCCGGGGCTTTACTGAAGAATCTTTCGTGGTAAGGACTATTGTGAGCGAGATTTTCTTTTTTGTAGTTGTGGTTACTTGGTTATACGGAGGTAGGTATACAACCTCTTCTTGTTCGTCATCCAGGTTGCTCTTCAGACGAACATGCTCTAGAATTTCTGCAAAGAGTTTCAGGGCTTGTGGGTCACCTAAATTGCAATTACTAATAGTTTGGTCGACTATTTCTCTAACTTTCGTGGCTTGTTCTTCGGTAAATGTGTCATACAATTCTAGACATTCCAGTAACGTTCTGTTTATTTCGGGGCATATACTAACGTGGTGTCCTTTTCTGCTACAATAGGTGCATTATATTGTTTGTTGCGGCCTTCTTCGGCTTTGTCTATCGTTTTGGGGTTTTCTATGGGCTTGCTGCGGTCGGGACTCTTTTGGTTGGTAGTGGGTGTTCTTTTTTAGACGTTGGCATGATTTGGTTCGATCTATGGCCGGTATTCGATTTTGTGTGATATTATCGAAGGTCATAACTCAGTGCCGGTGATTAAAGTTCATTTCACAGTGCTGGCCGGAAGGGAAGTTCCAATCTCACAGTCACCACCAAATGTGACGGTTAAAAACGGTTTGACAATAAAAACTAAGCTAAAACGGGCTCGCCTTTTCTTTAAAATCAACACAGAATCTACTAAACTACAAAATCTTTCCTTTATACCCTAGTTGGTAGGCTTCGATTGAGACGTGGTTTGATTTGGTCTGAGTAACTAGGGTCAATTAAGCTCTAGACTATGTCACAAATTTCTTTATACAGAATCACGGGATTTGGTCACGAATTCCAATAGTAATTACGGATTTCACTTATCGGGGGAGAATTAGTAGAACAAACGCTTCTACTTAAAGGACTCACTACTCACAAGTTAAATACTTTAATTTCTTTAACTTGGAACTTCGAATTCCACCGAGTTATTTTTATTTTCAGCGATATAATTGTGCTTAAATACATTTTTACACAGTATTAATTAATTACGAACTTTTCTGCCGTAGCGACCATATATGACCTATATGACCTATCTGACCTATCTGACCTATCTGACCTTTCTGCCCTATCTGACCTTTTTGGCAGATTTGACCAATTTGAGTTAGATCGATCCGAACCACTTCGGCATCGGGCTGAACGATTTTTCCCTCTCACAACGTACGTTTAAGGAAGATCTGCATTTTAGTGTTTATATATGGTTTATTTTAATTGGCCCAAAAATATACTTGATCTACATTTGGTGTAACCGGTGCCGATTTTTATAGTTATATTAGTGTTGGCACTATGGTGCCATAAAAATATTTCCTTATCGAAATACATATATTTTTTTGACTTTGTTATTCAACAAAAATCTTGAAAAGATAAATTGCTATCAACTATTTCTCTTGTATCAATAAGCTCAGAAATATATACTCTATTTTCATGTTTTTGCATGATAATTGGTAATTCTTTAATTAATTTTGTTTGATCTCCTCTTCATCAAAATTATCATCTTTACTATTATTGATAATTTTTTTCCATTTTTCAAGTTTATTAAGAATCTCAACAGCTGTGGACCTTTTATTAATATCAGAATCAACGCATAGTTTGGCTAATTCAACATAACATTTTGGAGCACATATATTAAATTCAGGTCGCAAACCATTACAAATCTTTATTGCTAATTCAGCTCAAAATTGTAACCATGAAAGACCTTTGACCAGTTGATATTTCTATCATAATAATCCCAAAGCTGTAAATATCAGCAGTTTGAGTGAATCGTTCACCTTTCAAGACCTCAGGTGCTAAAATATGGCAAAACTCCATAAATATGACCTTGTTTTTCATCAAATGATATTGATAAACCTAAATCAGTAATATAAACTTCATATTGTTCTTTTAATAAAATATTACCTGAATGTAAATCTCAATGCATAAATTTCTTTGAATGAATATGTGAAAGATCATAAATGATATCGTATAATATTTTTAATTTAATTTTCCACTCCGACTTAAATATTTCTTAATATTTTCATGTAATGATCAAATTTTGCGTAACTTGTTCTTATCCATTGATATACCATAGTATATCCCAAATTCGTGATACGCCTTTAACTAAAAATAGTCAATTTATATACCATTAATTCATAAACAATAACATAAATTTACGTGTAAAACAAAACAATAACTCGTTTAAAAAAAGTTGATTATTCTTATGTGAATCATTTATTATCTTGATTGCAACATCTTCATACGTTTCATATCGCCTTTTATATGATGATTTATACCTACTTCTTCAATGTTACTAAAATTATCGTATTCTATCCAACGGAAATAGTTATTATTACTACAATTATGTTTCGTAACATCTGATTTTAAATACCATTCAAATGCCAAATCTTTATTCTTTTCTACTCCTATCCCATTCTGATAACAAATACATTCCATAACAATGTCGGCACTTTTCAAATAATTTTCGAAGGACTTTTTTCATCCAATTCAACTCCAATTCCTTTAGAATAACAATATTCGCACCAGCGTGCCCATTAGTGATGGGTGACGCAACTGATGAGGCCTGACGAAACCATGACGAAACCTTATGAAAACGCATGACGCATGACGCATGACGCATGACGCATGACGCATGACGCATGACGCATGACGCATGACGCATGACGCATGACGCATGAATGACGCATGACGCATGACGCATGACGCATGACGCATGACGCATGACGCATGACGCATGACGCATGACGCATGCCGCACGACGCAACATATGTTTAAGGGTCACGTGTGTAGTTGCGTCAGGTCATGTGAGTTGCGCGCCCATCACTAGTGCCCATCTCTGCAGATTTTTGATAATGAATAAATGCTTTATGTTCATCCTTTTCAACACCAATTCCATGTCGATAACAATATCCAACCATTTTTGTTTCCTCAGCGTACCCCATTTCGGCAGATTTTTGATAGTTAATGAATGCCTTATGTTTGTTTTTTAATGTCCAACATAATACATGCCAGCAGATCTTTGATAGTAAATGAATGATTTATCATCATTTGCCATGCTCATAACAAAATGCGAGAATGAACTGAACCATAGGATCGAATTGATTATTTAAACAGTATTTGATAATATTGTCCGGATTTTGCTTTTTTTTTTTACTAGAAATTGCTCTACAGTGTCAAGAATTGAACTGTCCCATTTGTCTTTTAATATTTCTTCATTATATAGATTATACATTTCTTTAATGATTTCATCAAGAAAATCCTGAGACTTATCTTCTAGACACGATTGGTTAACTTCATTGGATATTTTAGTAACATCTAAAGGATTGTCGATTTTTTCTGATCATTTTGCAATTGACATTTTAACGCAATAAAAGAAGATATGTATGTACCGTATTTTCGCGTAATAATGCTTATGGCCGTTAATTAGAAAATCACGCCCCTTAAAATCATATACATGGTTTCAAAATAACGCCCATGCGCGTCCCTAAATAACACG